ACGATAAAACAAAAATGAAACAGTGTAACTGATGTGCTGATTTTTCAGAGTTTCCGGATAAAAATCCTTTACCAAGTTCTCATGTGTTAAAAAATTTGTCCCTAATGTGACACTTTCTCGGAAGTTCTAGATAGCATCTATATAAAAAAATATTGTAAATCAAATCGATCGTGATTAAAAAATTATTATCAATTTTTTTATTATATAATAATAATAATGTAAAATCGATATCTTATATATATATTTCTTCGAACTTTCATTTTTTACATTTGATATTGTCAGGACTCTTAAAAACTATTAAAAATTTTTAAATGCTTTTTGAAGAAAACCTAAACTTCTATCAATTATATATCAAAGTTCTGAAAATATGAAAAATATAACTAACAAAAATATATATATGCTTGCCTGATTCTAAATTTATAATGCAGACCGTTTATACATTGAGTAAAAAAAATAAAGATGAAAATAATACTACTATACACTTGACATTAAATTCATTGAACCGAATAATTCGATGCTAAATGTGATTATTCGTCGTAACAGAATTTAAATAATTTCAAAATTTTTATGCAAATTTTTTAAATAAAAAAGCAAAACAGAAAATATTGTTATGTTAATTTTATATTAAAGACGATATTAAGACGATAACAAACATCACAGAAGATGATTATTTAACATGATAAATTCTTTCCGAGCCACATATCGCCCTCGTTCCATCATCGTCGTTACCATTTTACGATTAAAAATAGCCTCATGCAAATCGCGACACAGTAGGCCGTGGCCGTTTATACTATCTCGGCATTATTCATAATGGAAATGAAAATAGAGCGCAACTCGCGATCGCTAAATGCCGGCGCGCGTGCGATACCGAGTGACGCGACGAAATTAAATCGGTCGTCTGTTCGGCGAATGTTGGCTGTTATACATACATATTTCGGGTTCGTGTCGCGTCAGACATTCGAAACGCTTTAAATGAAAATTTCAGAAGCACAGGCGACGAAATATTTGACAAATACTCTGCTTTTGCAAGAGAATGAACAATCCAATTTTAGAAAATCTTTGCCACATATAAGAGAAATAAATAAAAAAAGACACTTGCACAATACCATAAGGATAGACACGTATTTGATGAATAATCAGAAATTAAATAATAATATAATACACCAAAATATATTTTTTAAAAATATATAAAATTTAAAAATAATATATTCCAGAAAATATAAATTGTAAATAAATTTATATATAAATTTATATAACTTTTATTAAAAAAGATATGAGTACAAATATAAATTTTGATATAATTATATACACAGTTATGTTGTATATGTAATTATGCACATAACATTATTTAATAATATCTTGTGTGTGTGTGTGTGATGTATCTCGTATAATATTGGATATAATATAATTATGCCGAAATTTATATTTATTTGCATCTCCAAAAAATTCACATTTAATATAAATTTATTTATAACTTTTTTTCGGAATATACGACTTTTATACCACAAAGCTGGGGAATTAACTTGTTAAATGTCCTTTATACACAAGCGAGTCAACATCGTGCTAATATCGTCTACGAGCTGCCAATGCCTATTCCGAAAATCCAGACCGGAAGTATAAATTTTATTTCTCAAATAATTTTCTCGACGTGGGCTCGACGGGAGATCCTTTCATATGAAAATCTCGCAGCTGTCAAATCGTCGTAAAAATTCATGTTGCCGGGATGAACGGTGGCGTTAAAAACAACCCAATATTTTCAATGCATCACTTGTACAGGCCACGCGCGTTTGTCCCGTGCGATTCTCTATATCCACAGGGAGCTTCAAACTCGCGCGAACGAACGAGCGAGTGAGCGAGTACGCGGAATAAAAGCTAAAACGATAAAATGTCCGTCGGTGCCGTGTCGACTACTACAAAAGGAGCATAAAAGTTCCGTCCGGCGGGACTTAAAAAAGCGCTCTATTCTAAATTTTCAAAATAAAACGCGACAGTAAACGCGCCGCGCAAAGTCTCCGGATATATTTTAACATCTGTTTGCAATGAAATCCATTCCATCTCCGCGAAAAAAAGTGCCACTTGAAGTCCTGCATCCGACTACTTACGTCATATTCTACTGTAAATAGATTATCTTTAACTTTTCGCTAGAAGGAAAAATTTAACGGCAGAGAGATATATGATAAAAATAAAAATATGAGAGAATTGATGCACAGACAACACAGGAAATAGCTATGACGTGATTTAAAAATGATAAGATCATATCTTGTGTGTTTTTATGGAAAAAAATAATCGCTGAACCGGATTTCGCAAATTATTCGAATCTGTAATGTACATCAGTAAAATAATAAAACGTTATTCTGCCCAATATTTTTCTACATCCTTTTCGGCGAGGACTTTCTGTGGTTTTCCCTTTGATCGATTAATCATCAGCGAGCGTATTTTGGGTCGTTTACGTTCTACGTTGGACAAGGAAAAAAGCACCACTCGACATTTCGGCCCGATAAATGGGGAGACCGGACACAGGGAAAATACCATCTCAATTTGATTCGATTAAACAGGAAATAGGCAGCGTGTATTTCCAATCTACGCGGTATATATTTGCAATTGATTAATCGCCCGGCCGCGAAGCCAAATTGTCTAAACGGCGGAATCTATTTTTCCAACGGGCGTGCGAATCGCCGATTACCGGATCCACTCCCCAAACGCTGAAAATAACGATCGCCGAAACGCATATAGAAAGTTTACACTAAAATCTAATTACCATATAATAACGCAATTAAAATTTTTTCGATTGGATATACCAGACTTAATATACCCCAGCGTCGCCTTGACGTCTGGCGATGACGAAATGACAGAACAAGTAGTCAAAGTTTTTCACGCAGTTGATCCGTCTTATGAAGTAATACGCGCGTTTTACAACGATTAAATAAGAATTGTATATATAAAGAATTTCTTAAATGTAAAAAGTCGCGTGAATAGTAAGCCGTAAATGCACGCAATATTTCGTTTTGCACGAAATTCAGTCTACGTTAACTAAAAGCTTTTTAAAAAAACTATCCCTTTTTCACGTCTTACAGGAAAAAAAAGGAATGACAGAGATAATAAAGCAAATATAAAATATATTTTTCAAGAAAGCACTGATACGACAAGAAGAGAAATAAAAATGCAAAAATAAAAACGATATTTATTGTACTTCTAATAAATACTTTAAAATCGAATATATTATGCTGATGCATAAAATAATACGTAAAGAGTGCGCAACTATGTATATATATGTTTCAAACGCGGATATATATTGATTGTTAACGTCTTTAATGATTTACATACTTCTTTGTTACCTTTTTTACATTTTTATTTATCTTTGTTTCTAATGTCTATTTGATAAATATTCACTAAGTTGATTGTAAGATAAACGTCATCGTCGGACGAGATTAAATAGCCGTAGGCCTCCTTTCTTTAAATAAAATTGCACACATGCGCATATATATGTATACATATATATACATACAGGTATACGCGGCGAAAATATACATACATTGTATGCAGAATAAAGTCGTATCGTAATCTGCGTTGCCATAATCTTGAATAAATATTTGCCTCGTATTTAGCGTGCGACCCTCTCTTCGCAACCGTAACGTTATAACGGCAGGGAATTTTTAAGATGTATGCAAAATACATATAAGTTTATCTCTCGCTGTCGCATCGCAAAAGATATGTTATAAATTTTGCTAAACGGAAAATTTAACATCGTTTTATTATTTCTATGATACACACTCAGGCTCGGTATCTCTTTTTGCGTATATTTTACCGAATGTGTAAATAATATATGCCTTTTATAACGTTGGTTCAATAACAAAACATTTTTACTACAAAAATATTACAAGCTACTGATTAATGCTAATTATACCTTTTTATGTAAAATATATTGCCAAATTTCGTTATATAAGATTATATTAATCGATAAAGAGAAGGCATCACATGTAACATTTATTGTTGTAACAATTTATTATATTTGACAAATAAAATTTTGCTTCGACAAACAAATAACATTTTATACTGCCGGTAATTGCATTTAAACAGTCGTTTGATGGAAACTTTTCATTTAGAATCCCAAAATACTAGCGAGCTATTTCAATGACACAATTGCAATTATATATTCAAATAATGGCAAAGACAAATCATATATTTCTTTAAAATTATTTAATTTATTAAAAATATTTTGCGTCGTATTGGGAGAATATACGATGAATATTTATAAGTAATTTAAATTTAAAGGAAATAATTTCACTTGCATAATTATATACAAATTATATTTTTTTCATTCAATATGCAATATATTCCTTATTATTACGTTGATAAATACTTTTAGTAATATTTATAATAGGTAAATTGTTAAATTCAATATTATCAATTGGCGATACATTGCGTTTAAACGACGAATTGGTCGCTGCGCAATTAAATCACTCATTGGATTACAAAACGTTTCGTCAGCGCTGACAATGCCTGTGGTATATCGAGTTTGCGAAATGGGTTAAGTGCACGAGCGACCAGTTTCATTCGCCTGATATAAAAACAATTAAATCGCCCACGTCGCCCACGTGTACACGTATTTCGAGGGAAAAATTGATATTCCGAAACATCTATCCACTTTGCGATGGACGGCGGCCTGATGATGAAATCCGAGATTTCAATGTTCAATCAAACTGCAAATGTACCCGACTCAAAATTTCGTTAAGCCTCGACATATATCGTCAGTCGCGTTACCGATGTTATACAGTTCGGATTAAAAAATTTTTACCCCGGTGCGGAGTGAATCAATTCCTATCATAAAGATCTCTTCTATCTTTCGTCTCGTCATATCGATCGTATGCGCATTATGTATGTATGTATGCACATACGAATGCGTATGTAGTTACATCTTTACATGTCGATCGTACGTAGCTCATCGACGTGGTCTTGGAAACATAAAATAATCGAGCGGACAATTTACATCATTTTACATCATGGATAAAAAAATACACGAAGAAAATGCGAAAAAAATATTGGAAGACGAAAAGTTTCAAAAAGATGATACTGAAAAAGAATACACATATGATGATGATTCTTTCGAAGTGGAACAATCTTTCGAAGAAGAGAAAGAGAAAGAGGAAAAGGAAGAACCTTACGAGGAGACAGACTGGGAAAAAGTAGAAGAGAAATTGTGTAGGTTATAATTTATGAAATAATCTGACAAGTAACAACAATTTTGATAAATATATATTTTACATAGCACATATCTGTGCTATGAGTGATCGGATTATATGTTAATTAAATTGTGTTTTTTATTTTTTCCGATATTTACAATAAATTAAACATAAAAGATAAAAAAATATTGCAGTTATAATGCATATTATTTTCCTATGTTTAACGTAAATAATTATTATTTTTTGGATTTGTGTGTAAATTTAACATATTTTGCTTTATTTATTTAAAAATATATATTCTCTGGAAATATGTGCGCTGTTAAAAGTATACAACACGCTGCATTGCCAAGAAGAATGTCGATAATGTCGAATATACCAATATTGAAACTTTGTAATGAATGGGTTAAAATTATATACCGAACGAGAAGATCGATGATGCGTATCGGATACGCGTGTTGGATGGAAGTACGCACTGTGTTAACAATGAAACATAAACTTAGTCGACCATAAATACGTTCAAATATAAATGACGCGATTTAAAGCAGCGAGTTCGGATAATAAAAGAGATTATAATTTTATTTTATTTAAATATATGAATCCTGCAAATCTGATAAATATGTCGCAATTTTTATATCTAGATAACTTGTTAAAATATAATGACTATCTTTATTATTTTAATTAATCCCCGTTATTTTAAATATCAGCAATCAAAAAGCTCTTAACATTTTGTTATAACAGCATTATTAATTTATTTAATAAATGAAGAACGCGCGCGCGTGTACGTGTATTACTATATATATTATTTTAAAGATTCAAGATTGTGATTACGCTTTTGTATATGTGTATCTCATTAGCCTTTACTTTCTAAAAATCGAATTATTTTTATCTGCTTCATTATCCTCTCAGCCATTCAAGATTGGGAGAAGGAGGCGAAGAAGAAAGTTCGTATAGAAATAGATGATCCGATGGGAAAACGGAGAACTATCTACGATCTCGCTTCCTCTGCACCGTCAGTAAGCGACATTTGGAAATTTGACACAGCGCAGATAGCCGCAGAACCGAAGAAGAAAATTCGATATTCCGTGTCAATGGTGAATATTTGCACTGTAACAGCAATTTATTCTATTTTCGAAATTTCATATCGTCTTTAATTGAATTGTTATATTAAATATAGAATATTATGGAGAATTATACATGAATAGAAATTCATTGTTGCAAGTTCCAGATATTTCTCTAATTAAACATTCATTATTTACGTCGAGCGTCCTGATATCCCATATCTCTCTAATTTCTATTAGAAAAAGTCTGCTTTTATATATATTATGTATAGAAAAAAGAAAAAATATATCTTTATTAAATTACAATTGTTTGTTTCCATCTCAGGGAATGTCGGGAATAGCAAGAATCGATTTGTCGCCGCTGACGCAAAAGATCGTTGGCTGTGTCATTGGCGAGAATGTCACCACGGAATATCCATGGGTATACGTTAGAAAGAATATCATTGAGGATAATATAGATCTGCATTCCGAGAGCAGTGACTTCCTACCGGTAAAAGACGAGATTCAAGAATATCCTGACGAACAGATTCTCATCGGCTACGCACCGTCTGTTTCCGAAGAGGCCCAGTTCTACATTGTTCTCACCGAAGAAAGTAAAGATGCAATAATAAAGTCTATACAAACTCAAAGAGAAGATCATGAGAATCGCGTGAGATATGCAATCTACAAACCTCTCGGCCGATGGTTGGATTTAGGAAGCGGTGCCGAGGTCGATGCCTGTGTCGTCAAAAATACGAGACCGCTATTCGAGATCGAGGTTTGCATAATATTAATTGTAGTCTGTTTAAAGAATCACAAAATTCTATTTCTTGGACGTCAAGTACAGTCAGTTGGATAATATTAAAGAATTATACTCCAATCACACAATCTACTATTTCCAACCTTAAATAAAATTAATTTAAAAGATTTTTTAATTATAAGAAACTAAACGATAAATATTTTAACAAATAGTGTAATGAAAGAATTAAATAATGTAGTATTTAAGTTAGTCTAATTTATTATTTTAAGAACTTAAAAAAGTTATTTTTAGAATTGTGAAAATTAATACATATATCTGGATTAATTTTTTCAACTTTTCAAAAACAGGTGGATTGGAAAAAACACTAATGTATTGAATTATTTACTTGTGCACAATTATAAAAAAAATGTTATTAAATTAAAAACAAAAATTGATAGAAAATGGAAAAATAATTTTTAAGTTCGAGTATATTAAAGCAAACTACAAAAATATCAACAGTTCCCAACTCGAATATATCTTTACGCTAACGTAGTTATCGTCGACTTGCGACTTTTCACTCTGCCTTCGCCGAACTTTCTGCTCGTGATTTGCATATCTATTCGACCAAGCTCAAATTCGCATCGTGTAACGTATTGGGAATTTTTGAAAATTTTTATTACCTTCCGACAGCACACAATACAGTATGCGCTAACTAATGCGCGTGACTTGCGCGTGTGCAGAACATGGATATTGATAGCTTGCGTATGTTAACTCCAATCCACAGTATTAAAGCGATTACCGTAAATTTCTACTAATCCCGTCTATAAATACTGCTCCAGTGAATCGACAATAATAGTATACAGCGGCAAATTTATAAATTGTAATAAATTATTTATTAATCATTTTATCTTGTTTTTGATTGAGTGCAAGAAGTAATTCATAAATCCCGCAATACTAGCATTATTTATTTGATTATTTGTTCATCAATTATTTGATTACTTGTGAGATATGTTGCGCATCGTCGATAACGATCGTATCTTTTGCATTTAATTATTATCAGGTAACGTCTACAGCCGATTTACTGAATATACCGATAAATCTGATGGACAGGAAGGCGGGAGATCAGAAGGATGGCTATATCGAGTTGCTACCGTACCGGCAAATATTAGAAAATGTATGGCGTAAATTGGTAAGCAGGGCCACGCAAGTGATGCCAATCGTACAGCACAACGAGGCGCAAACGACGCCATCGATACCCGTCAATTCCTGGTACCAATATCTGTACGAATATGAGACAGTCGATTTGTCTACCTACACCGAAGACAAGATAGAGTCCTTTAAGGATTTTCTGAAACGTTATACCGACGACATGTGCGACCAAGTAATATGTTACAAATAATATTCCTCGATTTTTTAAATAAGATTTTATATAATACGAAACTTTATTGGATAAAACTCAATTTAATTAAGATATTAGTTATCAAAATATTTAAGATTTTTTTAAAGTAAGCTTATAATGGGATTAGCAATTATATCTCTGATACATCTACAATGCCCTTTTTAGATTTTAATGAATTCCACATGGGATATATATACGAACGATTATGTAAATTTGGTGCGTAATGAGAAGGATACGCAGGCACCAGTACCGATAGGTTACAAAGAACATCAGAGCTACTATGACGGAAAAATTATCGTGGATAAAGTTATCAACGATTTCTGCTGGCATCCGTTTTGGACCGGAACGGCGATAGCTACTTATACACAACATGCTAAGAGCGAGCATCTGATCGGTCCCAAAATTTATGACGAGGTCTATCAATCGCCGCAGATTATTTCTCGAGTTTATTTTCATCTATATATTGCTCCTAAAATTGCTCTACATTGACTAATTTTAATGAAAAATTTATTGCTAATGTAAAATATATTTTTTTATTAATATAAACGCGCACGTGCAGCGCATTTAAATATATTTGCTCAAAGTAGCACATTTTTCTCAGGTATTTTTAGCTTGCGAAGGCAATAATCGAGTACTAATATGGTCCTTCACTGACTGTTTGTCGCCTAAACTGATCCTTGAATGTTCGCGTGAAGTAACGTCTATTGGTGTTTGCCCTCTCGATGGTAGCATCATCGTAGGTGGTTGTAAAAATGGCCAGGTAATTTTTATCAATCACGCTTATTTTTCTTTCTTCTCTCTCAAAATACCCTATTTTTTAGATACTTTTTCTTGCTATTTAAGATAGACAGAGAAAAAAGTTCTTCTCACAAACAATATAGAATAGCACATTTTAAGCCGACGTAGCAAATGTCATTATTTATTATATGTATAGCAAGAAAAAATTTGTAGAAAATATTAATTTTACTTGTTAGAAAAATTTTGCTAAGAATTATTTATTAACTATAAATTGTTTTGCTGCAATAATAAAATTTACTAAAGTTAGCTTAGCAATAAATTCGTATTTTTATGAGCAAATTTATTCGACAAAATTTAGTTTTGCCGTTATATTAAATAATTAAATTATGATATCAAAGTTTATTTACTTTAACATCAAAAATATGCTATGACCTAGATACATTTAAACATACACATATACAATGATGATTTAAGATAATAAAATATTTTTTACTTATATGTCTGACAAAACGATATTTCATCAAGAAAAATATGGATGTTTTTATAAATATTTAAATTTATAAATATTGTTGGGTAATGTAATAATAGAATTACAAAGAATAGAAAAAGAATTCGAGAAGTAATATCCGATAGCAAATATAATGCTAATAAACACTTACCCCAACAATTCCCTGTCTCGATTATAACCTATCGCTGCGATCCCTCGATGCCTCGCGTTTTAACTACTCACGAAACATTCGTAAACAACTTCCTTCGACGGTAATCCGATCGTAACACGATCGATATCAGTCACGAATATCGAAAAAACACATCACGGTCGCACGTACATCGCGTACATCCTCGCGATTTGGCGCGCTTTTGACCGACGTGAAAATTCGAGAAGCGACACGCACGTCCGTCGATCGTGACGGACGTGAACAAAGCAAATATCGTATGCATGAGGATCACCTGTCCTCGTTAATTCGTAGTGGCTGTCCCTCGCTGCTCCTCTTGTCACGATGCCTCTCGATGCTTTGGATATTAGATGGCACTCGCTTGTCGGTCGAGCAAATACCACGAAACGCGCGTAACGGAAGGTGGGACGCGAAGCGACGAACATCAGTTATGAATGTTAGGAGACGCGTTAATTACGACGCCCGCGCAACAATTAATATGCATGTCGATCGCCCGTCACTAAATTCGGCACTACCGACATCCGTTGGTACACGATATTCGCCCGAGATGAACGAAAAGACGCATAAAATCACCGTAACCGTGGACTGTGCACGCGCGCGGTAACGTCAAGCGCGAAGTGAGCGGTTTCAGTTCGTCGTCCAACTTGACGCGTTCACACGACACTGTGAAATTATCTTATAGCGTTTTCGAATGAACGGGTTAACCCAACCCGGTTCAATTAATCACTATATCTTACTATGAATTCAAGCCTTTTATTAGCAGAGACGATGTAATGACGTCATTAATCGCTCTGCTACAGTCGAAAACTCTATTAGCGTCGCGATGTTTTACCGAAATACGTAGATTGTCTAATAATAATTAATAATAATTGAATCAATATCGAATTTCGAGCCACTCAATATTCTCTTTTGGAGAAATTTGCGCAAACGCACATGCTATAAAAAGGAATCGTCGTGAATGTTAAAATGATGGAACGGTGGAACGAAACATGTAGAACGAGGACAAAAACATCTCCTCTCTCGCTCGGTCAGCGCTTAACACACAGGGCATCTCTAGGTATATGTATAAGCTCTATGATAAATATCGATAGACACTATTAATCGCGTATGAACTAAATTAATGCCTCGAGACAATCGCCAAATTTGACACTTTCCACATATTTATTTCTATGTATGCATGTACATATATATATATATATGTGATATTGGCCTGGGATAGGGAAAAAGACTGCGAGAACACGAAACGACAATCTGCGATGCGAAATGAGCAGCGATTCCGAAATTCTATCAGCTAATCCGTTTAACCTCGCGATTCACGCGACGCGGCAAAGTTCACAAGAGAAATACAATATCTTATTAAGAATCTTAATTTAAGATATTAATAAGACTATTAAGCTCGTTAAAATAATTAGGTTATAAGAAAAAGTTGAATCGTTCGAGTAACTCGATATTGTTGTTTGTCACAATGCGGAAAACAACATCGTAATAGCTGCAAATTCAAATAATTTTTTTTTTTTATTTTGACATAATCGCATAATCCGCGTTTATTTTTGTCATTTAAAAAATATTAATTGCTTTATTATAAAAAAAGATATTAATTTTTATTTAATATTGTATTTGCAGATATATATTGATTTATGTCTCAAATTTTATTAATAATTCTATTTATTTTTTGATATTGAAAGATCAAGCAAATTCTCTTGATTATTCAATATATTTTGTGAACTAAATTTAGCAAGTTTTGGATAAAAAGAAGTCGATGAATAAACATATAGAAAACTTGTTACTACGATCATGAAATTTTCAAAAGTCTGGAGTGCGATGAAACGAGATAAAAAGGACAGCAGTAAAATCTACTCGTATTGTTATAGTAGATCGCCATCTGGCACATTCCTGGCAAAATCGAGCGGGTGGAGTCAGTGGTAACGCAGACGGGCGCTCAAGCGAAGTACAGCATCGCGATGAGGAGCCTGATGACGTGGATGTACGAGACGACGGTAACGTCGCTGATCAGTCCAGTGGCGATGTCCTCGCTCAAATACAGCCAGAAGGCGAGCATCACCCAGATAATCTGGATGCCCTCGCACCATAAGATCAATAAAAACGGCCGAATCTCATCCTTGCCGGACGACACGTCTTTGAACGATCTGAGTTGTCAGTGCGTAACTGCCAGCGAGGATGGCACAATTGCCTTCTGGGATCTTAAGTAAGTACAATCCTTAGTCTATCCAGGTTTAATAATTTGTTATTTAATATACGTATATCTCTTGAAGTATCTTAGAATATAATACATTTTTCTTTTTTATTTTTTGTTAAGTCTTAAATTGGAAAAAAAATCTTTTAAAAGTATGTAGAAAACAACAATTATAACGACAAATTTTTTTTTTTTTTTTTTTGCGTATATACATATATGTGTATATATATTTATATATATGTACATATGTTCTAAATGTGCATTAGATAGTAGCACTTATCTCGGATTATTATGCATATATCATAATGGAAAAATGTATTACGCGCGCGAAACATTTTCTATAAGTATAATCTATGATTATTTAATAATGAAGATTAAGAAAATGGTTTTTCATCCTTATTCATTACCAAATTGGAGAATAACTTCTTTTATTTCAGAATTAATAGAACTTTCAGAGAAAATCCTATAAACTTCCTGTATACTTTTATAAAACAGAAAACAATTTATATATATTTATGTATATAGAAACTTGCATGTATTATTTTTAGCTATTACGAAATATATATTTTAATAATTTTTTACTTTTAGGATTTATCATATATTTATAAGAGAGAGCATATTATTAATAATCTTGCAGAAATTGGAAAAGATATGAATATTCTTGTCACGTTGCTCACAAATAATTTTCTCAATTAAGGATTAAGATTAATAAAAATTTTAAACATACCATTCAGATTGTCATATTAAATCAATATTAATTCATTGAATATATTTTGGTCTAAACTACGACATTGCTCAACTTGCAAAAGTAAAGATATGAAATATTCAAGAAATATTTCCAACACTGACAAAAAGGAGATTATTTACTTTATCTTTCACTTTTGCGACTTTTTAGTATCGTCGCTCAGGCGAATATGTCATGTCGTTTTTCTTAAAAAATGCAAGAACAATCTACATGGCTGTGGCTAGCGTCAGGCGACCAGTAACCGATTGGTAACCATGGGAAAGGTTCCCAGTCGTATCTCTCGAGACTGGAAGTTAGCGACTTTGAATGTTCCACGAGGGCGAAACTTGTCGCAAGCTAAACGTTAAAGAGCGAACACCGCCACCGTTCGACTTGCCTTTCGAGTCCTTCTCTCCGGACACGAGACGACGATTCGCCTTCCGCTTTCATCCCATCCCCGTGCCAATCCTTCCCAAGAAACTCCCCCGATCTGCGGAACCGTAATGGTTCTGCGACTTGACTTGCTGCTGCTCCTCGTGATTCCTCCGAAGTTGGCGTTTATATGGTCCGAAAATGGATAGACCATTTCTCTATAATCGTTGATCGGTATTCAACCCTCGCTCCTAATCCTTCCCGCGTCCTTTACCATTCGAAGTAGTCCTCAGAATCTGTCAACTACCTCCTTGCCCTCGTCGTTCTCTGTGTGCGACCATTGGGGTGCGAGAGAGAGTCGCTCTTCATTTCGGTTGTGCCACAATGACTATGTAGACGATCGCACACTAGAGAATTGTTTCCTTGCTTGGTACAAAATTGGTACGATATTGGTATGAAATTGGTACGAGGTTATCTCATTCTCAACGCTTTACTGAAGGAAAGAAATATACCATAAAATTGCGCTGACGGAAATAAATCTTTCTATCCGAATAAAACATTATATACATTCCTATTTATATACATTCCTATAATAAATTTAAACTGTAGTCCATCGACTGTTAAAACTTTGTCTTTTATGCATGCTACTTGATTCACACACATATATAAAAAAGATACACACATACTTAAACGATAAAATACACACATTGTATAAAAAAATAAACACTATAATTTTCTAACAACTACTCGCATTTTAATGTTATTTCATTATCAACAATGAGATGACGTTAAAATATATTTTATTTCTGATGAAAAACACATAATGCCCTATAAAAGATGGCGACCTTCGGAAAAGGACATTCGACAAGTTCATAGACGAAAGAAAAAGACACAACCAGATATCCAGAAATCGATGACGCGGCTCGAGTCGCCCTTTAAGATTCTCGATCGCGTCTTGAAGCCCGATTACATCCTCGTGATTCAATATCCGGATGAGAGCCGGCAGCTCGTGATAACGACGCTCAGCATGTACAATCCGAAGTTTCACAAGGACCAAGTCGAACCGTTCCCGGTGAGAGACGACATCACAATTAGAAAGTACTATAGACCCATAATCGAGAAGCCGGACTACGTCATGGAGCCAGAGTTGCTCGTCGGAACCGTCGAAGGTGAATGGCGATTCGATTTCCTGCCGTATCCACATATATAGACACGACACGATTATATTCCCAAGTTTATTAGTATTAATACAATTTAAATCCCACTAATTAAACATGCCATTAATTGTGCTCAAAATTCACCTATAAGTAAGATCAATTTAATTCAATAATATATCGACGGCATAAAGCGAGTTAAAGCGTAAACTGTGGCAACAGGTGATTTCGGTTGCATAACGTGGACCGGCTACGAATTCGCCACTGACGTGAACGTGAATCGCGAAACGGCACAATGGCTCTGGATAAAAAGGATGCACGACGGGCCGGTAACACACTCGGTTAGATCCAATTATTACCATCATGTGGTGGTCACGATAGGCGGCAAGATCTTCGCCATATGGAGGGACGATTTCGGTGAGCCGCTCGTTTGGAAGAAGTCCAACATCAGGTGGGTGAGAGTAATTAGCGGAGTAAAGCAAACCGGACACTTTTGCCTCCGCGTCAAAGTAAACGCTCGGGCACTAAGTGATTTTCGTCGTGTACACGAAGAGGGAAGTTGCTTGTTGTGTTAATAGATGAAGTGCAAAAGAGAGAAAGAGTTAAAACAAGCACGGACGTGGGGTTGCAAGCTGAGAAATTATTCTTGCAAGAGAGAAGCGTCGATAGCGCGAGAATGAGCAAAACATGGTCATGAATATACATAAACGCGGCACGACAGGCCTTTTATTAGCGATAAAAATAACGATCAATCCCTCCCCCTCTTGCATTCTCGCGCGATAAATTGCCACAATGCACAGTGTGTAATTGTAATGTAGCATTTCGTATTGCCCAGCACAAACTCGCTCGCGCTTCACGTTCTGCGCATAGTTTTCGACGAATCGAACTTTCTATATGATCTGCATGACAATACGAGCATAACTTACAACGCGCTCGCGTACTATTACTAGTCTGTTAATGAAAACTATTTTCGATATATGGCTACGTACATGCATATGCGATCGCAAGAGTCATTATCGAACATTGTCAAATTGAAATTCTCGCGATTTTAAACGTTTATGAGAATTTTTTCATCTAATGTTTAACTCATAAATCAATTTCTAATATATAATTATTATAATAAAAATAAATAACAATATTAATTATATAAAATAACAAGAGCGCGACTATCATCTCTATAGTCGCTTTTTACAAAAATAGATACACGGCGTGTTCTTGGGGAATTTTACGTCCGACCATTTTGATTTTGGGAAGAATGGATGGAACCATAGAAATGTGGGATTTGGTACTCAAGAGCCATGAGCCGAGTTTGGTACAAAGTTTGTCCGGACGGATAATTACAGGCATCTATACGCACGAGCTGCCGCTCGAGCCGCAATGTGTCGGTTTTTGCGATTTCAACGGTTCTCTAAGAATGTTCACGGCACCGCGTGTCTTATTGACGTACGATGTGAGCGATGTCGAGTGGATGAAAAAATTCATCGATCGACAGGTCCAAAGGGTAAGATCATAAAAAGAGAGGCGCCGACATATACACTGCAAGTAATATCGATTAGATTGTATGATTAAATGTCTGAGCGAAAATATCTTTGAAAAGCTTATTTTTAAAAAAGCAAATGTACATATTTTTATAGAAAGTATTATATATAATTATTATATATAATTATTACGTTGCAGCAAATATTGTAAAAGTAATTATAATTAATTCTTTATAATTTTTTATTAATTACAAGCAATGATATGTGTGTAATATCTTTTAATGCGTTTGACGTAACATACAAAACAAAACGCGATTGAATCTCCGCGCGATTCATAAAACTTTATATTTCTATAGAGAAGAAAATATATCCGATCTGAATTCGTGATTGTAAAAAAAAAGATCTTTGTTCTGTTGTTTTGTGATTCGCCGTAAATTCTACTGTCTCAACTGGCAATAAAATTTCTTTATTTTTTCTACATTCATAAACGATTTTCTATTTCCGCGTATGATCAGATAAGCGAGTTTAAAGCCTGGCAGGAAACGTGGCGCGAAACAAATCCTGAGGAGATGAAGAAAAAGCTGGGCGAAATAGCAGAGGTGAAAAAACGTTTGGAGACCGAGGAGCGGATTAAAATCGACACGATCGAAGCAACGCTTCGCGCAACTACACCTACGAGGACCACAGTACGATTTGACATGCTACATGCTCATAAATAATTCGATGACATTCGTTTTTTATTTATATATAACACACTCCAGGCAGCAATCTGCGCTACAGAATCAAGTCCCAATCGAATGTTTATAGTTACGTGAATAATAGTATCCCCCGTGAATTCTCGGTGATATATTTAATCAAACACATCTGGAGCGAAAAAGAAAAAAATTAGTCTCTATCTCTCTATTAAATTAATTTTGCGCTATTCACAGCGCCGGAAACCCTGGCAGTTTCTCGAAGAAGCCAAGGAACGATGGATGTCAATAGAAGTAAAGCGCATGCAACGACTGATCCTGGAGAAAAAAGGGCTAAGGAAGGACGTCCTCGAGAGGCAGCGCGCTCCCGTTCTTAGATTGCGGCAAGAGGAGAGGACAAAGAAGCGCAAGATACGCGAGATCCTGAACCTACAGGACAGAATCTTTGAGGAAGCTGTCGTATTTCTCTTTCCAGAGCAGCATCAGGAGCGCAGGGAAACTTTGTTGCCCCCTTTGCCAGTTTCTGCGACCGATAGACGCTTAACGATCGACGAGTTCATTAAGAAGGAAACCACTTTTCGAAAAGAAGTACGTCAAGGAAATCAATTAATCTCGTGGAAATCCTTCGCAAATAATTAATGCAAAATTCTTCTACGTAAATAGTAGCGTACGCTTAAATTAAATGTAAATTGTGATGCAAAGCATGAATAATGATGAAATATCGATACGCAAAGATGATTATACATATTGCAGAGATATTTCTGAAACTATTACATTACAAATTCCTCTCCGGAAAATAAATCCGTCTGTCGCTTATATATTTTATTTATTTACAGATAAAAACAAAAATGGCAAAGCAATTTCAACTGATCGATATTTTGTCAACCTAGTACTTTTTATACATATTATATGTGTGTATTATTTTTTGTACACTTATATTTTTTCCAAGATGTTTTGTTTAGAGATTATTTTACATCTTGTATATTGAAAATTTTATATATTGAAATATCGTGTGTTTAATTATAAGTTAACGACGTCTTTAGATACTAATTGTTCTTTCCGTTGAAAGGAGGTTTTTACCGATCCGGAGGAAGAAATTATATACAATTTTCTGGAAGTGCAAGCTGAAGCTCTAGCTAAATTAAAGAGCACGCCTTTCGAACGCACGTTCGACTGGCGCAAAGTACTCGCGCGAGAAAAGTCGAGGAGAAGATCGATGGACATCGAACTCAAGAAGTTAAACAAGCTGAAGAAGACGGCAAAGTAGACGATGCTGTGAACGATGCATCACGACTTACCTGCAACGCGATACAAGAGGTACGCATTAAAGGTACATTTCCATTTTACATTTTGAGCTTGTGTTCTTTCGTTTCTCAGATACAGATTTGTGAACTTTTACGCGATTACAGATTTTTATAAAAATATTTTTTTTGTTAGATTTGTCTGAAAATGCAGCACAGAAGATTAATTTAATATATGAGACACAGTAATTTCTGTATTAGCTTGGTTTTTAGTTATAGTCGACGGTAGAAATTTTGATGTGCATTAATAATTTGTAGATAATCAAAAATTAGATAATACTACGTTTATTATAGTCTATTATAGTAACATTATTCTACGAATCAGATGGCTACAATCATATTTCTTTATAGACCCGTAGCTTTTGATTCTAAAATTGCATTTATGATTCCATTTGCGATAATGCATGGTCTTATTTAATATAACTATGCCGTTGGAAAATGAAACGTGAGTACCGTGTATTCTCTTTTGCGGTGCCATATATACTACATTTATTTAAAGGGGTTCCTTGTAATCCCTTTAATCAGAATTGTGCTCGCAACTAAAACGGGCACCTATGAAACGCAAGTTCGCAAATATTTATAATGTGATTTTACGAAGTTTACCAAATGTAAAATTATCGTAACAAGGAAATGAGATACTCTGGTCAATATTCTTATCGCGATATTTAAAGGAGAGGACAATGAATATGTATTTTCACACATATCATATTATATATACCACCCCGGATATCGTAGCATCTAATGTGCATGTCATTGTGGTAATTGAATATGTCGATAAACAGGAGAAATACATGACAGCAAAGAAAATGGAACGTATGTAAGAAATAAAAGTAGAATATGTCTGTCAACATCTCTCTACATGCGTTATATTAGATTGTTACACATGAAAATTCAGTTTGCGTATCAACAATCTTAAAGTGATTTAAAGAAAACATTTTAAATTGAGTTTAATTGCAATTAATTTTATTCCTCACACATTTCTTCCATTCCACATATAGAGAACGATTGAATAATACTTATATATAGTAATTAGTACTTACGAAATAATTATAGTAATTGGATATCACATGAAGAGAAATGTGGCAGTTAAGAAAGACTAACGATCTTCGCTTCGACGCAAAGGCATGTCTGAAAGCGAAAGAGACGAAAGGGTGGAAAAGTGGAGGATAGATGGGTAGGTAGGTCGGCAGCACTCGGCGATTTTTCATAATTAAAGCGAATTAAAACTCGGCAGTGGGACCGTAAATGAATTTGAAATTTCAAACTAGCTGCGCTCTCTCCTCCACTTATCCACCACACTTTGCCTTTTCTTTGTCATTTCTTCTCGCCGTAAACGGATCTGCGAGAATCCGAGTTGCGAGCAACTTGTATATAGCAGGTTTACCTGCTTCTATTTCCCCAGAGTAACACACTCCTCCCGATTTAATTTACTGCAATATCCACTCTTTGACGGCGCGGAATGATATTCTTTCACAGGGAGCGTCCAAACACAGATTGAGATGCTTGAATACTACTCAGATATCGAGATCAAAGTAGATCGCACTACGCGTAGAGATTCAAAAACAACATTTATAATTGCCGACAAAACAAGTTTTGGCGTTACATAAAAGCTTACATCACTATTGTGCAAATAAAAAAATTGGCTTGCGCTAATGAAAAAAAAAAAAAAAAAAAAAAAAATCCATGCGCACAAAAAATATTCCCGAATAACAATGCTGCGCGATATTTTTTTCGATATTTTTGCAACTTTCTCTCTTTCTTCCTCTTTTTCTCTCTGCCTTTCTATGCAGCTTTTTACAGAACTACTCATACGCAAAATAGCTGAGTTTCGTAGCGGTGCATTCTGTATGTTTGAAACACTGTTAGTGACAGAACAAATGTCTAAAAAGCAAGACTGGTTTTTGAGACAAAGGTTTTTGAAAATATAATAGTTTTGTATGGTAAAGGCAAATTATATAATTATTCAAAATAGCGCAGCTATTTACAAGTAAAGTAAGTATGTTTGCGTGCATTTCTTTAATAATAATAACGACAGCGTCAAAATTATACTAGGACGGGAGATTAGATATGTCTTCAACGAACAATGAGAAATGGAGTGAACGAAATAAACGAATGCGAGTCGAGAGAATGGATTAATAAATAGCAATGTAATATCATCGAAATATAGAAGGATCGAAAGAGTGCAACTGCCGGCGCATCGCAAGTTTCCGAAACTATCCGGGACCCTTTGCAACTGACTGCCGTCTTATTGCCCAAGTTCGGAACATCCCAGGAGACAGAGATTCTTACTTGCGTGCAAGTGTTTCTCTATTTTTCTCGCTCTGTCACTTTTTTGGAATTTGCTTTGTCCCAAACGATCAAAGTTTCCCTGGACCGGTCATGAACAATATGCGCCACACGGGACGATCGTTTCCCGGGACCTTTCTCCCGCGTGCGCTTTCTTTCGGATCGTTTATCCAACTGAGAATCATCGACGATGCGAAACATTCGCTCGCTAGTTCGCTAACTTTACATTCAAATAATCCATTCTCTGCGCGTTTGAACAATTAGATATATGACAGTCTATTGCACTCGAAAAGCAAGTTGTGCGAACGAGCGAAGAATCGGGAAGAGAAGGTAGCCGAATATGGTGGTTGATTACAAAAGTTGTTCATCCATTACAACGATCAAGAGCGCTGTATGCAACTGCGATGATGAATTGGTCAATGCATCACACCGCTCTCGGCTCGATTACGAATGAGTATGCATATGCTCCATTTCTTTAGATGTCATGCTACTTGTCCAGTTATACACGGGTTACATGTTTCCATTATTTCCACTGACCCATTTGTACTCGTAGAGATATATCGTAAGAATTTCGAGATATTCTATTAAATTTATTTATATACGTATATCATAAAATATGTAATATCTTAAAAATCTTCTCTCAAAATTTTTCTTTGACATAAGAAATTTATTTCAAATTTGTTACAATATCTATCGCGCGGATAATTAAGAGCAGATATATTCTGACATAAATTTCATATAATTGTATAATATTATAAAATATATACTTTTCGTGATTAAATTAGAAGCTTTAGCTCGCTACATTTATCTCGAAAGATAAATTAATCCAATAAAAGAAGGTAACTTTGCGACAAAGTAATTATTACTTTAACACGTAACGTTAAATTAAAAGAATTAGAGATGCCATTTTATCTTTATCTTTATTTAAACTTTATCTTTTTTTTTTTGCACTACAATTGATTTTTGCTGCACGCAATGTTTTATATTTCTGCACGAAACGTAAAAATGCAAAAGAGTTTTTTTCAGTATATATATATATCTTGCCCGGTTTTAGAAATATTTCGGCCGTTATGCTGTTTTCGCAAACGCAACTGCATAAGTCACTCGCTTTCGATCGCACCTAAAAACGAGCGTGCCGATGGACGTGGGAAAAAAAGCGTTTTCTTCCGTCGCGCCGTAATATCGACGCTGACAGCGCGATGACGCGCGACACTTTTAATTCTCTACCAATTAATCTCTCGCGAATCCACGAATTAGTTCCGGCTCGGAACCACAGCTGTCCATGGATTTGGAGGACGTGAGAGGAGGCTTTTCGTCGATACCGTCGGGGTTCAACGCGAGTGATAACGAGGATCGTAAAATTTCTACGGTGAACGATGGGCACGTCGATTATTGACGCAGCTGGGATTTGCTTGATACCAAAATCCGGTGTAAAAACGATCGATCGTTCTGTTCACTTCGCATCCAGCATTTACTTCGTGGATCAATTTTTAACGATACTCGCCGCAAATCGGTAACGCGAGACAGTAACCTGTCACCACAAGAGAAAAAAAAAAAATATCGTCAATCGCTCCACGAATTGTATCGATTTTTTTCGATATTTTTTATTTTTATGAATTCTACAGGGTGCAAAATACACATCATTAACACATCTAAATATCATAAAAACAAAACATTTTATAAAAAAATGTTTCGGACAAAAGTATTATGGTAAGATTATCGAAAACTAAATATTTTACGAGATATTTTATATTTTATATATTTCATATCAAAATATATGTCAGATTAAGATATAAAATAACTCGAAAAATACTTAATGAAAAAATATTTTATTATAGTGTTTTGAAAAGATCTCAAGAAGAGCTATAGGAATATACAATAAAAAATAAAGGTTTCCATTTAAAAAAATTAAGTTGACGTTCAAAACGTCCACCAAATTAAAAATAAATAATGCTATTTTCTTCCCCCTCAAAAGCAAACTTTTGTCTGAAACATTTTTTTTTAATAAAATGCTTCGTTTTTATGATATTTAGATGGGTCAATTTAAATACCGCATCATGTATATTGCAGAAACAATCTTTCTTGGAAATACTTGTGTGTGATAAGCCGTTCTATCAATACCTACCAAAATCCTAAATATATTTAATTTCTTTCCTTGCAAACGGGAATTAATTTAAAAAAATTGATTATATCTTATCTGTAGAATTTTTTAAATTTGTATATTAAATATTTATATTACACTTTTTCTGTCTTGTGTCACATATTGTATAATATATTAGAACCAACCAAAAAAAAAAAAAAAATTGATTATTAGATATATCTAATATAATTATTAGATATATATATGCTAAATATACTGTTATGTTCTAATTATTAATTTGATGTCACTCTTACTTAACTACAAAAACGCTATTTTATTTTCATTTTCCCTGAATAAAAATACGGTGAATTAACCAGACGCTGAACGTTCCTATATTGACATAAGATGCGGTATTAAACGGTATTATCATCATGGGTCATTCGCACGGGTCATTAATATTTCATACGTAACGTACAGCAATTAACCTTCCAAAATTCTCTATATATATATATATAGCGATTTATAAGATAAATTAATAAAGAGGGATTAAGGAGTCGCGGTCTCTCATCCGCGCAATCGACCACGGAAAAAATTAAGAACCCATCCCATCTGTAGCCCCGCAGATTTCCATGATTCCCTTAAATACAATCAGTCCGCACAATTTGTCTTGCGCTTGACAACATGAAGCGGATCGTCGCCGGGATAAGTTATTAGGTACACATTCAACGTCATCCCCTTAATAACCGTCGCTATGTAATATGAATCATTAATATACGGGTAAAACACATGCGACCAATTATATCGAGAAAATTACATATCTATAATATTACGCCAATAAAAGAATAAAAATAGTGATATATTGAAAAAAAACATATACTTTCGCTGTAACATCAGACTTGGAATATTCGATTAAAACACTATCTGTTAAGTCGCCTGAACAAATAACGAATATCGGACGATGAATTTATTATGAGTGTAAAAGCTGCAACATCGTCTACGTGTTTTGCGCAAACATATTACGTCATGTTGATCCTTCGTTCGAACGTGACATGATTTGTATTTCGAAGCAACCTAATTAATCATGTAAACGCGAAAGACATCATTTAAAAAGGCGATATCGAACGCGCTTTTAAATAAGATGAATGTCAGATTTACGAGAGTGGTGAGCGCGATATTTTAGCGATAGCGGACTACCTCATTTTTTCATTGTCTCTATTAACTACAGGCGTAGCCCGGGAATTTATAACTCGGGGGGAGAAGAAGACGAGCCGCGATGAGGAGAGAAGGCTGGGCTGCTTGCTCGGCGACATCTTTTTTCTTAATTCATTTGCCGGGGATTATTCATCAGCCATTACGGCGCTAACGAAACGCAAAACGGCGAAAAACCGAGAAGGGAGGAGAGGGAAAGCAAAGTATGCCATCGTGATTGCCTTTCTACATTTCGAATGGGAATCTTACGGTAAGCGGACTCGCGACTTTGACGAAAGGAGGAAGAAGTGTAAGAAGAAGAAATGGGGGGAAAAGGGAGGAAGAGAAATAGAAGAAGGACCTTTCGAATTGTTAATGCACGAGGAGCTGCCACGACTTCTTTCCATTAACTTTAGTAACTATGGTAGCTAAAAAGATGTACCGCGCCCAAAGAGAGAACCATCTTTTTCCTTCCC